GTCGACTCTGAGGATCCCCTGATATCACTATTTCTCAACCTTGATATCACTATTTCTCAAGACTGATATCACTATTTCTTAACCCTGATATCACTATTTCTTAACCTTGATATCACTATTTCTAAACCTTGATATCACTATTTCTCAAGACTGATATCACTGTTTCTCAACCCTGATATCACTATTTCTCACCCCCGATATCACTATTTCTCAACCTTGATATCACTATTTCTTAACCCTGATATCAATATTTCTCAACCCTTATATCACTATTTCACAATCCTGAAATCATTATTTCTCAACCTTGATATCAATATTTCTTATCTCTAATATCACTATTTCTCAACCTTGATATCACTATTACTCATGTCTAATATCACTATTTCTCAACCTTGATATCACTATTACTCATGTCTAATATCACTATTTCTCAACCTTGATATCACTATTTCTCAACTCTAATATCACTATTTCTCAACCTTGAAATCACTATTTTTTAACCCTGATATCACTATTTCTCAACCCTGATATCACTATTTCTCAACCCTGATATCACTATTTCTCAACCTTGATATCACTATTTCTCAACCTTGATATCACTCTTTCTCAACCTTGATATCACTATTTCTCAACCCTGATATCACTATTTCTCAACCTTGATATCACTATTTCTCAACCCTAATATCACTATTTCTCAACCTTGATATCACTATTTCTCAACCCTGATATCATTATTTCTCAACCCTGATATCACTATTTCTCAACCCTGATATCACTATTTCTCAACCCTGATAACACTATTTCTCAACCCTGATATCACTATTTCTCAACCCTGATATCACTATTTCTCAACCTTGATATCACTATTTCTCAACCTTGATATCACTATTTCTCAACCCTGATATCATTATTTCTCAACCTTGATATCACTTTTTCTCAACCCTGATATCACTATTTCTCAACCCTAATATCACTATTTCTCAACCCTGATATCATTATTTCTTAACCTTGATATCATTATTTTTCAACCTTGATATCACTATTTCTCAACCCTGATATCATTATTTCTCAACCTTGATATCACTATTTCTCAAGACTGATATCATTATTTCTCAACCCTGATATCACTATTTCTCAACCCTGATATCATTATTTCTCAACCCTGATATCACTATTTCTCAACCCTAATATCACTATTTCTCAACCTTGATATCACTATTTCTCAACCCTGATATCATTATTTCTCAACCTTGATATCACTATTTCTCAACCCTGATATCATTATTTCTCAACCTTGATATCACTATTTCTCAACCCTGATATCATTATTTCTCAACTCTGATATCACTATTTCTCAACCTTGATATCACTATTTCTCAACCTTGATATCACTATTTCTCAACCTTGATATCAATATTTCTCAACCCTGATATCACTATTTCTCAACCCTGATATCACTATTTCTCAACCCTGATATCACTATTTCTCAACCTTGATATCAATATTTCTCAACCCTAATATCACTATTTCTCAACCTTGATATCACTATTTCTCAACCCTGATATCATTATTTCTCAACCTTGATATCACTATTTCTCAACCCTGATATCATTATTTCTCAACCTTGATATCACTATTTCTCAACCCTTATATCATTATTTCTCAACTCTGATATCACTATTTCTCAACCTTGATATCACTATTTCTCAACCTTGATATCACTATTTCTCAACCCTTATATCATTATTTCTCAACTCTGATATCACTATTTCTCAACCTTGATATCACTATTTCTCAACCTTGATATCACTATTTCTCAACCCTGATATCACTATTTCTCAACCTTGATATCAATATTTCTCAACCCTTATATCTCTATTTCTCAACTCTGTTATCACCTTTTCTCAACTCTGATATCACCTTTACTCAACTCTGATATTACCATTTCTCAACCTTGATGACAATCCAGAAATTTTGGTTGTTTGAAATCTTCTAAACAAATTGAACACTGTCAATGAGGTGGGGTCGCCATTGTGAGTCATTAAATATTATCCAATGTTTTCAAACTGAAATATAAAGAAGCAATGGTTGCTGTAAGGAGAGGTAGTCTCACGTTAAAATTTCCTCGACAGTTGGAAATCGGAAAATAGTCGGAGAAATGATCCTTTTAACACTTTATTACTTACTGCACAGGGTAGTCAATTTACTACTTACTGTACTGGGTAGTCAATTTACTACTTACTGTACTGGGAAGTCAATTTACTACTTACTGTACCGGGAAGTCAATTTATTACTTACTGCACCGGGTAGTCAATTTACTACTTACTGTACCGGGAAGTCAATTTACTACTTACTGTACCGGGAAGTCAATTTACTACTTACTGTACCGGGAAGTCAATTTACTATTTACTGTACCGGGAAGTCACTTTAATACTTACTGCACCGGGAAGTCAATTTACTACTTACTGTACCGGGAAGTCAATTTATTACTTACTGCACCGGGAAGTCAATTTACTGCTTACTGCACCGGGAAGTCAATTGACTACTTACTGCAACGGGAAGTCAATTTACTACTTACTGCACCGGGAAGTCAATTTACTACTTACTGTACCGGGTAGTCAAATTTTTTGGTTCAACCTGATTTGGCAGAGAGGTAATTATTTAATTTCAATTGAAATATTTTAAAGTCATTTTCCTAATTATTATCAAATTCTTAATCTTGTTTAACCTTGGCTTGAAGTTGTTTATTTGTGATCCGAAGCCTGACCAAATCATAAATTATTACCCTTGGGCTTTTACTAAGGTTTTTGGTGCAAATTATTTTCTTTCTTAGTAAAAGGTCAAAAATTCAAGGGATGTCCCGAGACTGGACATCCAAAAAAACATAGAAAAAAAATCGTGGGAAAATTTCGAGCAATCCAGTCTGCCCCCCAAAAGGCCTTCGGCCCGTACGCCTATGCACTGAACAAGGTAGGCCTATATATTGTAAATCACCTTCACAATTTAAAACAAGCTCAATATACTTACAGAGAATTGATAATTTCTTCGAGCTGTTCTCAGGTTGAAATCGAAAGTGGAAATAGCCAACTGGGTTTTGCCGTAGAGTTATAAATAGAACATTCCCATGAACGGCCAAACAGCATACAGCAATCCTCGGCAGTTTCCGCAAAGCTGAATATGTTGCAGATCGCTAGCATAGACATCAATAAATTAGTGCAAGCGTTCATTGTATACGCCTTTCAACTGAACAGGGCAAAAATGATGATCAGTAGGAAACATTTATAAAGAGGACATGTTATTAGCAGAGATTCAAGACAATGTTAGCTCAGTATTTTATACAGGACAATTCGACCTCTGAGGTCAGATCGCAGAATTAACTATGAGCGATATTCAGACCACAGCCAAATATGGAGGAGTCCACTACTACAGAACTTTTACTTTCGATTTTGCCATACTTTGGACGAGATTTTGTCGGAATTGTCTTGCTTGTACGGAAATTTTATTCTATATATAGGCATCCATATGTTCAGTTCAGCGACCCCAGTTATGGTCTAAAGACTGCACTATAAAATCATCTGTTTGATGACGCCGCCAGTCAATCACATTTCTTTCCTCTGCAACGCTAGAATTATGTGACTCAATCAAAGGGTGTATTCCGGGGAGCATTAGATTAGTTTATCAAGTCCGTTGAAACTGATCTATGTTGAAATACACCTTTTCAATTGTTGGTTTGAATTAGACCAGTGGGATTCGATTTTCTTATATCTGGAATACAATGGCCACTTTTCTTGTATCATAGAAGTTTGTCAATGCAGCGACGCGACCAAATAGAGCCAATGAGAGCCCTCGACCGAAAGTCTGTGAACCACAAGCCATATTGTATCAATCTATTAGGTCGAGGACTCTGATTGGCTGTATTCGCTAGCGTACAATCTTATCAAATTGCCGCATTCCATGATACAAGAATAGTGGCTAATGGAATCAAGGTATGAAACGAAGTTGAAGTTCGTAATAGCTTGAACATTGTGAAGATATCCCCCCACTTTAGTCGCTAAAGGACTATTGTGAAGATAGTATAGTATAGTATTGTCACTTGGTTTTCCAGAATGATGGATTTATACGTATCTCATAATGAATATCGACCCGTTAATGCTCATAGTTTCCAAACACCAATGATAAGTTATCAATGTTTTACTAGTTGATGGTTGGTGACTATATACTCCGGTCCGTTATCACCCGATAGCGATAAAACAACCTGATAAACACCGATACTCGATTAGAAAGATGTAGGATAGAACATAGAACATAGGTTATTTAAAATGGATTTCAATTATTCACGATTTTTATTATTCATATTTATTTTTCATCATGGTAAGTAGCCACACCTTCCCTTATCCTGGTTGGTGGTAGATGATAAGTTAACGTTCGCTTCCAGCGGATGCTGATATCGCAAACTAGGCCTTATCCTGGCCTTTTTCTCTTATTTTATACTGACATTTTCTCTTATTTTATACTGACATTTTCTCTTATTTTATATTTGGCATGAAATGAAGTGAACCTTCTCTTTCACACCATAACATAGTTTCTAAAATCAATTTGGACTAGTTATTCGGGTAACTCTGTGACTGTTTTAGGATGATGAGGATATCCAACCCCGAAACTTCCCAAACCCTTCACATCCTGTACCCCATGTACATACCAGCAAAACTTACAGGGTCAGTCAGCACTTCAGGCTTGTTGACCACAATAAACCAAGCCCCAATGTGCCTTACGGTAATAAGGTGTTAAAAGCTCACTGTTCTTGCAATTTGAAAGAATAATCCATTCAACAGTATTACAACAGTGCTAATATTCAGATCACTTATCTGATAATTAAATCAATCATTTTAAGATTAAGTCATCCTCGTGTGAGTGAAGGGGTATTTTAAGTGTACAATATTGTCTGCTGAAAGGGATTTAATCACCAAATCATTTTGGTTACAAGGTGACAGAACTTAAATCAGCGAACTTCATTTACAGAAGACAATCCTTTACATTGTCTGTAAAACCGATGTGCGATGTATTTATCTGCAATAGGCAGATGTGAGATTGGTTTCATTATTCCTTCTTCATTTAAGAAAGTCATTCAATCCATTTACCTCACATAATCAGTAACACAAATCCATTCTTATTCCATTGATAACAAACTCGATGTAGGATTTTCATTCTGAAATGGCAATAAAGAACCAGCAGCTAATACCTTTGGTCTCATTTGAAATGCTCACACCAATTTTACCTTTCAGCTTTCTCCACACAACAATCATGTTATCAAGACTGGACAAGATCTGGACAAATGTGTCTACTGGTGAAGAATGGTTATCAAGTCACATGGAGTGAAGCCAATAAAGATTGTACAGGTCGAGATGCCACGCTCCTTAGATTTGAAAATGGCGATGATGTGGTAAGCCCGGCATGTCCATATATATATGAAATAAACAATATCTATAGGGCAGATTTGTCAACCAGTAGGGTCATCAGCCCGATGACACGTCAATTGTCTCTTTGAGATCAGATTGAGATTGTGCCACCTCTATGGAGTTCTGGAGCACGTGCGGTTAGAGCGTTAGTTGTATACAAAACGTAATTTGATTGAACAAATGGTTGTTGTGTGCTCTAATTTCGGTCAGCGTGTGAAAGTTCGATGACATTGAATACGCCATATTTACTCACAGTTCCGGTCGAACCAGCTGTAAATGGGTACGCTTGATCCAATAAAAATTAATGCCAAGAGGTTTGGTCGAAGAACAGCTGGTAGAAAGGATACTTAATTGTAAACCTGAGTTGCTATCGTTTAAAAATATAGTTTTTTTCTTTCTGTCTGTCTGTCTATCTTTCAGAATAGTTTTGTACAACTGGTGTCTAAATATGGAGTTGATGGTTGGTGGACAGATCTAAATGAGATTGGTCATCCTGGAATTTGGACGTGGGGTGACAACGAGGAGGTTTTCAATGATGCTTTGTAAGTAATACATCTCTATCTTTGTCGTTCCAAAACTTATGGGACTATACAACTGTTCTTTATAAGAACACCACAGAAGAACATGTTTTTCAAAGATATTTTTGATGACGTTTTTAAGATAACGATGATGAATTGTAGGATAGCAAAACTCTCAATAAACCGACATTCTCTCTAAACTGCAATCCGGCATCGAAAAGGGTCCCGTAGTGGCTAATCTATAATAAACCAACCTCCTTAAACCAAGAACTGTATTGATTCATGGACTATTCATGGGCAAGCATTTGGCGAGATTAAAAGTATTAGCAATAATAGATATCGATTCAACGTCTGTGATATGGATTTGAAAAAAAGAAAAATTCGCACCGAATCGGACATCATCCCCAACCAATAGTAGTAGTAGACATCGAACACACATATATTTATTGCAGAACATGGAATGTCGAGCCAGACGACAACCGACACGTAGAGAACTGTGTTTCTCTGTCCTACGAAGGCAAGATGAGCGATGAAATGTGTTGGAAAAAATTAGGTTTTATTTGTGAATATCCATTACCTGCAGGTAGGTAGAAGAGGTTGTTGGAGAGAGACTATTTTTTATGTATGCGCTTACAGATCCATATTGTCCCTAGGGCTGGGTATCGATAACCAAATTGAGAGCAATCATCGATGGTAGACTGGCGATCAATAATCAATTAATAATCGCAATAATTCATTTGAGAAAACCCTGTAAATAAAAAATTAAAAACATGCCAAAATTCTTAATTTCATGGGTTATTTTTGTGTCATAGAAGTATATTCTCGTTTTGATCGGTTATTATAGTTTATTGTGGGTATGATATGTGCTGAAGGGAAATTATATATTAAGATATAACTACTTGTAAACGGGTACAGTGGAGAAAATGTAACTTTGACATATAATCGATTATGAAATTTGATAATCGAAAATCGAAATTATAAATTCCTAGCAACGATAATCGATTATTTCAATCATTTTACCCAGCCCTAATTATCCCAACCTAATGTCAGAAACATATACAGTATATCGTGTTGATACGTTATATCACATCCATCGAAGGTTATTTCTCACAAGTTTAGGAATATGTGGGGGTGTGGGTACTGTGGGTGTTGTTTTAAAATAAAAGGTTCGGCACTATGAAGAATTATTGCCATTTTCTACAAAAAGCCATCAAAATCATCTGTTGGAGCATTCGACCGCAAAGATAGCTGTATTTTGATATTGAATCTTTCCTTATTTGTAGATGGCAACTGTGGACAAGATTGGGTATCCTCCACAGACTCTTGTTATTATATCAGCTTTACTGAGGATCCCCTCAACCTTCTAACGTGGATGGATGCTCTCGCCAAATGTATGTCAATGAATAGTTTAGGACAGGCAGCCACTCTCCTTAGCATCAACTCACAAGCTGAATACGTAAGTTACCTCCCTTGCTGATCAGTATTATGTCCCTTGAATAATTTTATTGCCTCCCTTTGTGATAGAAAATGTGGCCCCTGGGAGAATTGCTTGATAATTGAAATATGGGTTTTAGTATTGTGCTCAAGTTCCATTTGGCTAATGAAGATCGAAAACGCTTCGCGTGCGTAATCAGACAAATTTTGTCAGTAGGCCTACAATAACACCAGCCTCCTCGATTTCTTCGAAGAAATCTATGAGAATTTTGATCTGCGTTTTCTTCGGCAGATGTTCACTTATACGACAACTGTATCTATAAGCAATAAGGACTACAATTATACCCATTTCTGGTTGATATACTTCCCAATATGAATATTTCATCATATTCTACCAGTGTATTGCCTGTTCGGTTTTGCGTTTGGGATCGCTTATGTTTGGGTTTTCCTTTTAATAAATATTTTATATTTTAGACTACGATCAATCAGTATTTATCATCGTCTAAAGTCCAAGACATCAACTGGTGGATCGGACTCAATGATCAGACAACAGAGGGACAGTATGTCTGGACAGACGGACCAGCTGATACAACTTTCTTGTAAGTTAAAATTCTCAAAATAACTTTGTATAAGATGTACCGCATGGAAGTAATGTCCGGATTAAAAGAATGATTGTTATCTTTAAGAACGTTCTATAAACACCATTTACAAATCAACAATCAAATTAAATATCTTTAAGACTATGAGATAACCAAGACTATGAGATAACTAAGACTATGAGATAACTAAGACTATGAGATAACTAAGACTATGAGATAACTAAGACTATGAGATAACTAAGACTATGAGATGACCAAGACTATGAGATAACTAAGACTATGAGATAACTAAGATTATGAGATAACTAAGACTATGAGATAACTAAGACTATGAGATGACTAAGACTATGAGATAACTAAGACTATGAGATGACCAAGACTATGAGATGACCAAGACTATGAGATAACTAAGACTATGAGATGACCAAGACTATGAGATGACCAAGACTATGAGATAACCAAGACTATGAGATAACTAAGGCTATGAGATAACTAAGACTATGAGATAACTAAGATTATGAGATAACTAAGACTATGAGATAACTAAGACTATGAGATGACCAAGACTATGAGATAACTAAGACTATGAGATAACTAAGACTATAAGATAACTAAGATTATGAGATAACTAAGACTATGAGATGACCAAGACTATGAGATGACCAAGACTATGAGATGACTAAGACTATGAGATAACTAAGACTATGAGATAACTAAGATTATGAGATAACTAAGATTATGAGATAACTAAGACTATGAGATAACTAAGACTATGAGATAACTAAGACTATGAGATGACTAAAACTATGAGATGAACAAGACTATGAGATGACTAAGACTATGAGATGACTAAGATTATGAGATAACTAAGACTATGAGATGACCAAGACTATGAGATGACTAAGACTATGAGATAACTAAGACTATGAGATAACTAAGACTATGAGATGTGTAAGACTATGAGATGACTAAAACTATGAGATGTGTAAGACTATGAGATGTGTAAGACTATGAGATGACTAAGATTATGAGATAACTAAGACTATGAGATAACCAAGACTATGAGATGACTAAAACTATGAGATAACCAAGACTATGAGATAACCCAACAATCAAATTATCTATCCCGAAGAACATATATATTACTTTGAGAAAACGGATTTTGGACTTGTTGGGCCGTAGGCAAACGAACGGTAGAGGACCTAATTTCTCATTTTAGGGAGGGGGTATGGTGTGATTACAATTCTATGGCAGGAAGTTTGCGATCTTTTTTTTCAGGAACAGATCAATCATCAGCATCAATCGTATGCACGATATCGGCATTCATCACCATTAGGCTCAAACAATTTAGTTGATTGTCACACATCACGATCCTAGTAGGACAGTTTTCGACGGGTTTGCGGAAATTTGTTAATTGATTAATTTTTACTGTTACAAAATTTGTCATGGGCCGAAAGGCATCTGCCTAGTTTGCCTATAGGTTAATCCGCAATCATCATTTATTCTTAAAGAACATGGTATAACCCACTTATTCAATTAATTTTTTCTTTAAGAAAATGGGATAAAGCCCCCAGTAAGCTGTCTCTAGTAGATAAATGTGGGGTTGTCCACGGTAACGGTCATATATCGTATGGTAAATGTAATAAAGACAAGAATTATTATATCTGCAAATCGAAAGTAACTGATAGTAAGTGACAGTTTTTATATCACATTAATGTATCACCTCTACAAGTCTGTACATGTGTAAACGGTGATAGGCAATACTGTAGCATAAAGGAAGCAAATGAGAGAAATGTCCCTCTTTATAAATTATGTACGACCTAGACCCTTCTTTGCGCTATAGATTGAAATATAATGCTATGAAAATTGTAATAAGTTTCAGCTATTTTTCTCTTAAAATAGATATCATACATGTTTTCTTCTTCATATTGTCAAGTTATTGCAAACTGCGACTAATATAGTTTGACTGCAATAACCACCTTCCCAATATGATTGGAATATAGCAAATGGCAAATACAGCCAATTAGAACCCTTGAAAGAAAGACTGTGAAGAATTTGGGTGTATGTTTAATCGAGTTGTTCTGATTCGCTGGCCGCTGATACAAGATAGGTGGTTATTGTAGTCAAGGTATTAGACGTAGTTTGTAACACATGTATTAAGATATACCGAAACCAATCGGAAAACAGAATTGCAAATAAGTTCAAGATATTTTGTTTTCTTCCTACGTGATCAGTATTCGGCATGCCCTTATGGTTTTCTTTCATCAAATGACATTTCGGACCTTCTCATAAAGGATAGATCAAAATCTCCTGTTAACTCGAAAAAAACTAAAACATAAACTACTCGCAAATAATTTACTGTAATGAAGATCGATGTAATTTTATATATCATTAGGTGAATTTTCGACGTATGAAGAGCTAGGATGTGTCGGCGGCTGGACGAGAGCAGGTCATAAATGTTATTTATTTGATGCTCATGAAAAAATGACACAATCGAACGCCAGACAACATTGTCAACAAAATGGCGGCGATCTAATCAAAATACAGAGTTCAGATGAAAAGGTATGATCTTACAAATAATATAATATTTAAGACAGGTATTAGTGTTACCTTAAGCGGTGACACTATTGCCGATACATTGGTGGGGGAGGAGGTCATTTGCCAAAATATAGTTTGTACCCAAAAATGTAACCCAACCCCAACCAATTTCTCACAAATTTATGAATTTGATATTTTTTCCCCAAAATTTGCAATGCACCAAATCGATTCTAATTTCCAAAAAATCACTTCAACAAAGCTGCCGCATTTGAATATTAACCTTTGCAGTTTTTCCCCAGTCTGCCCGCTATTTGTACCACCGGTCTCAGGATGCTGGCGCCGCCACTGGTTACCTTACTCTCGACTGAATGAAGAATGTTAACGCCCTCTAACGTGATCTTTTAGATGGATAGATTGCAAGCTTAAAAATACTCTGAGTTTTAGAAAGATTCTTCCTCCGGATGATAGACAATATATCAGTTTTTGTAAATCTGTGATGCAAGAAAAGTGGTTATTACAGTCAAGGTATAAGATAAAGTTCGTAATAACTTGACATTGTGAGCATGGGATTTGGGCCAAATACCGTTTGCTTTGATATTTATTTTGACATATTTGGACAAACTTTGAATACATGATTGATTATAAAATGTATATTCTTCAGAATTGGGTCACTCAGCAGACGTTTAACAGAAAGGTGACTGGTTTTTGGACAGGATTATCCAGAAAATTAAAGGGAGCAAACTCTTGGACATGGGCAGATAAATCTGATGTAGATATAAAATTAATGTACGTAATCCTAATTTTACACTACCCTCCCTGATGTTATCTTGATAAAAGGATACTGTCATCTCTCCAGTTAGTTAGAGATGTTAGAAAGCTAAGTTGGTGAACAATGAGATCACTGGTTCCCAAGCTTTCGGACTCTTCGTACCACTTTGCGACGCTCCCACTATAACCTCGGTGAAAGAATTCACTATTCCGAATGGATTCTGCAAAGTGTTTCCGCAGTATTATGTAACTTCTATATGCTTCTCAGGTTTCGCCTTCAGTTTTCAGGAAGATAAAAAAACCCTTGATCAGCACAATTGTATACTACTCCAAAGTTTTATATTTTTAGAAATTGGAACCAGGAGCCTAATGATTATATTGGTAAAGAAGATTGTGCTACTATCAGCCAGGATGGTGTTTATAATGATTATTCCTGTTCTAATAATGCTGGGTATATCTGTCAGATCCAGTCCGTCAGTGAGTCTATCTTATATTCTGACAGTCATAGTCAAAACGCAGTCAACAAAGGTTGTCAGAGAGGATTCAATCTTTGGTCATCACGGGACCACACCTCATTAATATTTGCCGTGTCGGATAAAAATACTTATAGAGACTCATAAGATCACGACACAAATTCTTTTTTGATGGCAGCCACCCTTTCTCATTGCAACTCAATACATTGACCGACAATTGCTCACTTTTACCTTTTTCAAAAGCAAAAAATGAAACAAGGGATCATTTTGTGTTTCCAGTTCAGCGTCACGTTAGAATGTCTGGTCTCATTGACTTATTCATTATCATTATGTTGACCTATACAAAGTTTAGCTGGATCATTCCCTTCTAACCATGCGATATTTTGACATATACATATGTATAATTATATATTTCCTTCATTTTGTATTTAGTCCAATACTAATTTATCTCTACATCAGCTACTGCCAATGCATTGTCAAACTGTCATTTTGGTCTTTCGTTTTGCGGTTTTGGATTGTTAGTACGTGGGGTTTTTATTCAATATATTAGATGGAAACATTTAAATGATAAAATTACTACACACTACATTTCAACAATCTACATTGTCATCTTCAGGTGAAGTGAACTGATGATGACAATGTAAATTGTTGAAACGTAGTATGTAATAAAACTAAGGAGTAGAATACATATAAAATTGTGTTCCGTTATTTAATGTGATCTCTACCCCTAAATGTCGCGAAAGAATTATTTAAATGGTTGTAAGTATGACAATGATTCTTACTTGTATTTGATTCCTTTTGTTTTATTTAAGACTTACCGTGTCCTAAAGGCTGGACAATGCCTGATGCTGAAAGCAGTATGTGTTATTATATTAGTAGTACAGATGATAACGTGACTACCACGTGGTACGATGCTAAAGACAAGTGTATCCAGATGGCCAATGGTGGAGACGCGACTCTCTTTGCTCCTCTCAGTAGTGCCGATTATGTAAGTAAACAGGAGAGACAATTCATTAAAAGGATCTATCGGAATCTGTATGACCAATAGTTCTTTAGTCTCAGAAACGGGAATTTATTTTAGCTAAGCTAATCAGTAATGGTGTTCACAGGTCACTGTTGAAATTTGAGCCTTCTTGTGTGTCCAGAATTGTCCAAGTTAGACAGTTTAAAAGACGACTCGTCTTTCCTATAGACTCTGCAATATATAGGAAAGGAATAGAAAGAGAAATTCCTAGTTTGGCCATAATTTCCTGGGATCCGTTAGAGAAAAAACTCACTGTTTTATATTCCAGATGTTTGTGAGTCAACAGTTGATGTCTCTACCCCCGGATACCACTGGCTGGTGGACAGATTTAACTGATGCTCAAGTTGAAGGGGTGTGGCAATATTCTAATTCATTTAATGGCGTTCCTGATAAGTCTCTTATGTAAGTTCATCAGTGCTTCCAAAATCCAGGGTTTGGATCAACGGATCGAATATTTTCCAACCTGGTGTCCCCCTTGTCAGTGATGCAAGTCTGATGCACTGAAATGAAAAAAGGCATCTATACATTCGGTTGGGACTAAAAACTGTGTGCTATTGGTTGTTTACAAACCCACAACTAAGTAGGCGGTGGCGCTCTCCTTGCAAACATGTTTGAATTGCATAGTGAAGAGCGATTATCTTTAAACGTTCATATATGAAACGTTGAGCGTAAGTTACCCATGTCGTATGTCGGCCAACAATTGCTCGTTAACACTTTACAAATCAATGATTTGATTTTGTTAATTATTCATTGGAAAGGGGACCCCAATAATTTTTTAAAGGGGAACCCAATGATTTTGCCTTTATTATTCAGTGTCTGGAAAGGGGAACCCAATGATTTTGTTTATTATTCAAAGTTTGGAAAGGGGAACCCAATCATTTTGTGTTTATTATTCAGTGTCTTGAAAGGGGAACCCAGTGATTTTGTTCATTATTAAGTGTCTGGAACAGGGGAACCCAGTGATTTTGTTTAATAATCAGTGTTTGGAAAGGGTAACCCAGTGATTGTGTTTATTATTCAGTATCAGGAAAGGGGAACCCAATGATTATGTTTATTATTCAGTATCTGGAAAGGGGAACCCAATGATTTCATGTTAATTATTCAATGGAAAGAGGAACCCAATGATTTTGCGTTTATTACTCAGTGTCTAGAAAGGGAAACCAAATGATTTTGTTTAATATTCAGTGTCTGGAAAGGGGAACCCAATGACTGTGTTTATATTATTCAGTGTCTGGGAAGGGGAACCCAATGATTGTGTTTATTATTCAGTGTCTGGAAAGGGGAACCCAATGATTTGTATTTATTATTCAGTGTTTAGAAAGGGGAACCCTATTAATTTTGAAAGGGGAACCCAATGATTTCATGTTAATTATTCAACGGAAAGGGGAACCCAATGATTTTGTTTATTATTCAGTGTCTGGAAAGGGGAACCCAATGATTGTGTTTATTATTCACTGTCTGGAAAGGGGAAATCAATGATTTTGTTTATTATTCAGTGTCTGGAAAGGTGAACTCAGTGATTTTGTTTATTATTCAGTGTCTGGAAAGAGGAACCCAATGATTGTGTTTATTATTCAGTGTCTGGAAAGGGGAACCCAATGATTTGTATTTATTATTCAGTGTTTGGAAAGGGGAACCCTATAAATTTTGAAAGGGGAACCCAATGATTTCATGTTAATTATTCAACGGAAAGGGGAACCCAATGATTTTGATTATTATTCAGTGTCTGGAAAGGGGAACCCAATCATTTTGTGTTTATTATTCACTGTCTGGAAAGGGGAAATCAATGATTTTGTTTAATATTCAGTGTCTGGAAAGGGGAACCTAATGATTTTGGTGGAAATGAGGACTGTGCTGTGATGTATTATGGAGGTAGATACAATGATGTATCGTGTTCAGCTAAAGCCAATATTGTCTGTGAAAAACCTGCAACGTCATTTCCTTCTTCTGGTGGTAAGTTTTTAAATATGTAAATAGTCAATCTTCGAAAATTGTACATATGTATATGGAGATTCGAATCATAAACACAAGATGAACAATTCATTTAGGTATAATAAAAGGCAGTTCAAATTATATATACCAGAGTTATATTGTAATCATTACACTGTTCAAATTACTAATTATGAATCCCTTCCTGGTCATATAAAAACATTTATAAGTCAAATACAGCAGGAATATTTATTCATATAATATATGTAATAGTTAGATCATATCAAGTAAAATTTATTTTAAAGAATGAGCACGGTCGCGAGACCTATAACCAAATTCTAGCTGTGTCACATGACTGAAAACACTTAATGATTGATTTTCCACTAGAATGTTTAGCCAATGCTGATTGGATGAAAAAGTAGGTAAGGCTCTCACCTGTTTTTAATTATATACTGTATCTATATATTGCAGGAGAGACTGTAGAAAGAAGAATAAATGGAATGGTTTTATTGATATCATCGCTGATCGTTTTCAACATTTGAATATTTTGTGTAGACCTAATAAATGTGTACATTATATATAACTTTTTAATTCCTGAAAAATGTAAATATTGTTGAGTGACAATGCTTGGCACAGTCACATAATTCTGTCGTAGGAAAGGTTATTACATTGCATTCTGAGCCAAAATCGGCGGTATCTTTATCAGATTGTTCTGATTCAAGTGAAGTTCATAAATTGTATTAATCTAATCCGTGTTCACTGAACAGAACATTCCTATGAGATGCAGTAAGCTTCGGGTTAAGAGCATTTTCCCTTGAGAATTACTTATTGTTAAAGGGAGGTAAGTACATCACAAGTGTGTGTAATTGCTTGGAATATGCTCCTCTTTTTAAAGGCTCTTACGAGCAACGTTAATATTACAAGTATTATTCCTCCTAAAATTCGGCTCTTGCGATAAAAGTTGATCAGGAGATTTTGAAGAAAAAACCCAACTATCACTGGGATTCAGACCACAAACAATTTCATTGGTACCTTTCTGACCCAGTGCAGATATGTGTCTAGATATTCTCTTTGCAATCTATTCAAATTAATGCATCAGGTAGATTTCATGAGAGAGAAACATACTGGACAAACTCAGAGCGCCCCCAGGTATTCTGGGAGAGTGAATATTACAAAACCCACAAGGGCCCAATACATATGACAGTGGAATTCTGTACACAACAAGACATATGCAATAATTTAAACTTTATTCAATAAAATTTACATAATCTCTGTAATGTTTCTCTGTATTAAAAATAATCTTTCTGAGAACAATCGCCTGAAAGAGAGAAATGGTATTTGATAAAAATGTATCGAAAATGGTTTAAGTAAGAGAATATATCAGGTAAACTTAATAATCATTGTGGACTCCCGAAAAGACAAATGCACCAGACGAAAGCCAAAGAGTGAGCAGATTTTGCATCGTTTGTGAGCTGATCTCTAAAGCTTGGAGCTAATGGTTAAATAATGAACAAAAACTTCACGATTCCTTTCCTTGCGTTTCTATGGCTTACTCGGAATGCAGATGGTAAGGCAGTGCTATTCTATCCACAAATATTTGATGCCCTGATGCATTCCCGAGTGTCAATATAGTCGTTCTAGAGTAGGGGGACTATAGAAATGTAGCATGATGTACACAGAATAAAAAAACATCAGGGTAACTCTTCAACATATCTATTTCCTGCTTGAGAACGTCTTTATTTTCGTCAATATCGAAGGATCGTTGTCTTCGTTTATAGTTGAACGAATTCGAAACTTGAGGACCGAGAACAACAGCCTTCTGGTCGTTTAATGATGGCAGATAAAGGTGAATTGAGAGTTATTTACCTTGAATTCGCCGCCACCATGATGTTGCTATATTTAGAACATTGGGAACATGGCTGCCATTGGGTTGAAGACTGGGTTGGCGACAGCAGCAACTGGGTTGATCATGGGGTTAGCCATGGGATTGATCATGGGGTTAAGCATTGGAGGTACAAATGGCATGATTGGAAAAGCTGACATAGCTACGATTAAACAGAACATAACGACAACAATTTTCATCATTTTGGTAGATTTTTTTTTATCTGAAATGAGAAGATGCTTATATGATAATATATCACCAAGTGCAAACAATTGGAGGGTTATAGCCAAGAAGTATAATTTAAAGGTAGGAGAATAATGTGACTGGGATTTTAAATGTTGATCCCTCTGAATCGTACATAACATAAATAACTAATGCTAACTACACAACAATAACACCTCAATGCACTTACCAGGTATGACTGTGTATCTGTGAAGTCAGGAGATGTGTGACTAACTAAACTACACTCAGGGTTTATATAGTCACAGGAGACAAATAGACATCCATCATCCTGTCTCGACCAGTACTTACGTAACTACAGATAATAATTACAATAGAACATGACCAATAAATTATTATGACCCTTCAGAGGATATAATTGTTTTGATAAGTGAATCATAGAGCCGCTATCGCCCTCAGCATTTGAAAAACATACCCATCGAAATAGTAATTGAATTATTTTCGATATTTCACAATAATTCTAAGCAATTTGACATTAGTTGAAGGGTTGAAGTCCAGACAGTAAAATATGCTAAAAAAATATATAAATAAATGAAAATGCATTGTATTCCTTCAAATACGTAAATGAACTAATAACCAACGAATATATCAACAAAAACTTTTGGAAAATTCAAATATAATAAATTTGTTTTTTTTACGATAGGGACTATTTTTATTTTCTGCTCAAAGTAATATTATTATTATTTCTTGTGATTTCTGTATTCATCAATGTTCCGTAGACTTCGTGACAGATTAAAACAAATAATTCACGGTACCAATTCGTGTAAAGGAATACTTATTTTGGGCCAAATCAGAAAAGGAAGAGTCAAAGAAATGTGTTTGTTCGTTTTTAAAAATTTTAGATATTTGTGGGGGTTGATTTGGGTCTTGAATATATGTAAATAGTCTTCAGAAGTTCTAAAAATGTACGAAAATCGCATAATTCCTTCAAACATATCTCATACTAGGAATTCATTTTCCTATTTCTATAGATGTCTTTTACTATATATTGCCGTGTCTCGATAAAAGACGACTCGTCTTTTTAACTTTCAAACGCGAATAATTCTTGAAACATATGGAAGCTCAAATTTAGGCGGTGAGCTGTGAACTCTATTGTTGATTAGCTTAGCTAAAAAATTCCCGTTTCTGAGACTAAAGTAAAATTGGTCAAACGGAAGGCGAATTTGTCCCTTAAATTTCAATTGTATACTCCGGTTTTAATCAACTCTTTTAAGAAAAATTCAGTTTGATGAAGTACACATATTTCTTCATGTGAAAAATTCATTAGCTGCTACCAATGTTTGTCTGTATTTTGGGTTTCGGTTTGTGGTTCGGGTCGTTAGCACTGGGTTTATTCATTAAAAATATTTTCAGTTTTATTTACGACGTTTTTACAATGAATGATGCCCCTTTCAAATAATTGGCAAAATTCAATTCTGTCGGATATTTTCTTTGGGCAGTAGTATAATGGGTTATGGCAAGGATATATTGGCCGCACCCTACCCTAATCTTCAATAATCATATTTTCCTACAAAGAAAAATAATTGATGTAAAACTTGACAAAGGCGTGTAATGACAAGATTCTGATGTACAATATTTATTAATATTACACAACGACACGTCCCTAAACAACCGGAATTCATCATTAAGCATTGTTACGTTAGTACTGGCCGAGACAGGATGATGGATGTCTATTTGTCTCCTCTGACTATATAAACCCTGAGTGTAGTTCAGTTAGTCACACATCTCCTGACTTCACAGATACACAGTCATACCTGGTAAGTACATTGAGGTGTTATTGTCGTGTAGTTAGCATTAGTTATTTGCTTGAAATGTAACATTTATAGTAAATGATGCACGAATGGCACCAAAAGCAAAACAGTATCCATTTGTATTAGGAATCCTTAAGAATACATGGATACTGTACATCAGGGAGCAGCAAGAATTTATGTTATGTACGATTCAGAGAGATCAACACTTGGAATCCAAGAGCTTCTTCTGAAATATGTTACCATATAAATATCTTTTCATTTCAGATCCAAAAAAAATCTACCAAAATGATGAAAATTGTTATCGTTATGTTCTGTTTAATCGTAGCTATGTCAGCTTTTCCAATCATGCCATTTGTACCTCCAATGCTTAACCCCATAATCAATCCCATGGCTAACCCCATGATCAACCCAGTTGCTGCTGTCGCCAACCCAGTCTTCAACCCAATTATGAGAATGGGAATGGGAATGATGTTCTAAATTTAGTAACAAAATAGTGTCGGCTACTGTCAAGGTATGTAAACTAATGAATTTATTCATTGTCTCTAATTGATATACAGTGTAATCGTAAGAGACAAAACCAAAAGACTGACGATCGGTAGATGCTTTTATCTTTATCAAAAGAAACCACAAACATTCAAACTTAACTAAATATTATCTCTTATTTTTTTAACCACATTCTTATATTGTTGATACAGTTGGGTCAGCACTACTCTTCTACGACATACAACTTGAACGCCCCACGCGTATTCCAGCGTATTATTTAAAATGTTTTACTCTTCTAATTTCAGAAAGTTTATTTTGAATTCAATCAACAGAGAAATATATTTACAGAGATCATCTAGTTATTTTCAAATAAAATTCTATTTTTTATTAACTTTTTATATTCTTGTTTTACCTCTCACAATTCCCCCATGAACAAACTAAAATAACAATACACGTATTCAGTATTAGCATTGTGGACTCTCCGAAAGGGATGCCGATTTGACACACCCTGTTTGGCATCAGGTATTCCCGAGGTCATGCAAGCTGAAGCCCCGAAAGATAAGAGAAAAGATCGAGTTGAGTCTTCCATTCAGCTTCACGGATCATATCAAACCTTGTAGTATGGAAATGTAATTTAAACACAGTTGCTTCCCTTTGACTTACAGAAATGGCAGATAGAAGGGATTGAATCCTCACTGATCTGTAATGACGACAAATGGCACAGGAATGCAGACAGAAAGTATATTGCACTGGGCATCCATAAAATTGAATTGAGAATCGAAATTCAAAACCTTGAAGCTTACGAAGCTTAGGTTATATGCCAGTTTCTATCAAATTAAAGGAATTGAAATGAGTTTAGGCTAATAATGACGCGCAACAACATGTAATGGGGGAAATTACTGTCGAGAGGTCAGATCACCTCGGTTTATTGTCCCATCCGAACGACTTGAAGCTCTTTCCATGTGAACACTTCCATCACTGACAGGGGCCTCAATTACTAGCATTGAATCCTGGAACTTCATGTAAGTGAGCATGCATCTAACTAACTGACCTCCTATATGTACGGCTCTTATCAAGTTGTAGTGGTACTCAAGACTAATATTTATCAGGTAAACCCTTATGGATTTCAAGTTAACAATCCCAGTCGCAGAGGGGCATCATGAGTTCCGGAAGGTAGAACATGCTCTGTTTTTAACACCAGCCACAATACATAATCTGATGTAGAAGTGTTCAATTCAATACCATCTTTGGTACCAAGACCTTAATTACGGTAGTGTCTATTTACCACGCAATTGATTAATAGGAAAACATCTTAATTTACAGCTAAAGCCAAATGTCTATAACAACAACGAAATTGAACACCCTGTCTGCATCTGTCATCATCATATTCTGAAATTGCTTTGAGCTATATTGTTGAAGGGATATATATGTGAAACGAAAAATGCGTACGAGTTCGTACATAATTCTGACCTTCACTGACCCCCTACCGACTTTATTCACTCTAGAATGATCATTTAACGCAATTACCATAAGTTTGACTTTTCTTTACAATATCATTTTAAATAAAAAAAATATTGTAAACGTATCTGAGAATGAGGTGCAGTTTAATTTGACGTGGTAAATAGACCTTTTAGTGGTCCAGAATTATTATGAACAAACCTAGCCCTATAAAAGTTGTAGTACTATTGTTTCGAGACTAAAGCAGGTATTTGCTCAGGCTCAGATGTATAATCTTAGAGAAGTTATAAGATACATTGTTTATAGTCTTTGTGGGTAAGCATAAATGTTAGCGGAAAGTGAGAAGTGTGACGACAATATAGTCTATCGTCCATTATAGATGTGGGAATGCATCTTCACAATGTCAGGCTAATACGAACTTCGTGCGTATACCTTGACTGCAATAGCTACCTTTCTAGTATGACGGAAGTTTGTAAATGCAGTGATTGTATGCTAGCGATGCTTAATCCTCGACAGAAAGTCTCTAAATACGAAGCCATAATGTTTACAGCTTTTCTGTCGAGGGCACTCATTGACTTATTCGTGCTTGACTATATTGGTTTTTTGCAGTCAAGGTATAAGTACGAAGTTCATAATAGCTTGACGTCTGTCGCTTCAATAATTCAAAGGAGATAAATCAGGGCGTGAAGTCGGTCGATCTAAAGGAACGACTAATATGTATCCCCTCAAGGGACATTACATTTGTATAAGTTATATTTAATTTCAAGAATACGTATAATCTTTTGTTATAACTGAACAAATCGAAGGTAGTCTATGGATAGGGAGGAGCGGGTATTAATGAAATATATGGAAATTAATTCTGTATGATATATAAACATAAAAACTAAAATGACAACAATACGCTGGCCAGTGCCATAAACTGCCACAATTCAGTACAAAAAAGTACAAATTTTTCTTCAAATATTGTCTGTGCTGGGGACGATTAAAGATTATAACTGTCTCATTCTTGTACATCGTCATAGTATTCCTTTTATTCACAAGAGCAGACCAAGCTTTAATTCCACCATAATCATTTTTAAAAATGGCAGAAAGAAGGTATAGATATCTTCCTGCGAAACAGTATCTCAATGTTTTTTTAGTTTGAAAGAGATAGCAAAGAAAACCTCTTAGCATTCCCTTTAATATTTGGTTGTAAATTACAGTCCGACCACAATGTTTACAGAAACGCAACTATTTTTGAATAAATTAAAATATCGACTTCATAATACTACTGAGAGTCTATGGTTGTCTTTTGATAGTTGAAAATTCCAACCAGTAGTGAGAGATGTTGGAATAAGATTCTGCAGAAAGTAATTTTCAGTCGATATGCGAGCTATTTTGTTCTTATTTCAAATGTAAAATAATCAAATCTTCTTCGTTCTGTGGACGAACACCCCGAGTCAGAAATATAACATTGTAATTTTCATGAAAAATATATCATTTCACACATTTTTTAGAATGGTTTTACATAATCTGATAAATCTTGCCCTACCCAGTTCCCCTGACGTGATATTTGGATGGGATATCGAACCCAGTTTCCGGGTCAGATTTGTCGTCTATGTTTTACAATGTTCCTAGGCAGAACGAAACAAAAACCGTTCCGTTCGTGAAAAACACTCATGTTACTCATTTGTCGCCGCTAAGATTTTTTAGAAGATTATCGAATAAATGTTCACAGACTATCGGTTCATGTTGTGTTTGTAAAAGAACGCATTATGTTATTATGTCCCTTTACAAATTAAATCAAACTTTGAAGTCAAATTGCTCTGGTAAAAAAAAAAAATTCATTTTACAGAACAATAAATATGTAATAATATGAATCACACTTGTATGTTCACAAATTATTGGTTCATGATGTGTCTACTTTCGTTTTTTTTTCACATTTACTATATTTATTCATGAAATTAAATAAAACTTTGAAGTCAAATCACTTTTAATAATTGTGAAATGAAATGGAAATAATTCAATTAGGTGTTCAATGAAAATATATTTGCAATGGTTTGGATGATAGTTGAATTAGAAATATTAAAACAGAGCTCAAAAGAACATGTTGTTACTCAGAGTATATACGATCTTCAGATATATAAATACACATCCTTAATTTACAAGATCATTTCTCAAAAATCAAATTTTATCGTGTAAAATTTCTTATTTCTTTCTTAAAAGAAATTCTTCAGATAGTGGGATTATATAATTTACTTTTCAAAAAGAAACAAAGCAATATTTTAAACTATGAGTAATCAATCCTGTGAAGGGTCATAATAATTTATTGGTCATGTTCTATTGTAATTATTATCTGTAGTTACGTAAGTACTGGTCGAGACAGGATGATGGATGTCTATTTGTCTCCTCTGACTATATAAACCCTGAGTGTAGTTCAGTTAGTCACACATCTCCTGACTTCACAGATACACAGTCATACCTGGTAAGTACATTGAGATTTTATTGTAGTAGTTCGTCTCCAGTGGCTTGAATTCCAACATTGTAGTAAACCAGTAAACCATGCACCACTTGACAATCTTTTATTTAAAACGAAAGTTAAAATTTTATAAGAATTCGAGAAGGGCCTTAAGTTAGATAGCATTAGTAATATCTAATATAAGGTCTCTATTCACAAGCGTCCAATTAAATCGTTGCATTCCGTGTAGTGGCTATTGCAGCCATGGTATAATACCAGCTTGACGTTTGATGATGAAGATGATGTATTCAATGCTGGTACACATTCTTAATTATAGCCGTTCTTCCTGGCGATTCAGTTATACGTGACAATGATATATAAATATTATTATTTTTCAGTTACCAAAAAAAAATCTACCAAAATGATGAAAATTGTTATCGTTATGTCCTGTTTAATCGTAGCTATATCAGCTTTTCCAATCATGCCATTTGTACCTCCAATGCTTAACCCCATGATCAATCCCATGGCTAACCCCATGATCAACCCAGTTGCTGCTGTCGCCAACCCAGTCTTCAACCCAATTATGAGAATGGGAATGGGAATGATGTTCTAAATTTAGTAACAAAATGGTGGCGGCTACTGTCAAGGTAGGTAACTCATAAATGTATTTTTGATTATTCAGCTATATTTATACTGGGTTAACAAATCTTTTGTCTGACAACAGTCGATCATCATCTTGTATGAATTCTCTGATGGTCATTATCACAATTAATGCTAAAATAATCAACATGTTTAACAGCTTGCTGTGTCACCATATTGGTCCATCTTAATAGTCCATATCGCCTTGTATCTTTATATCACCCCTCTTTTGGACCAAGGACTAGTCAAAGCTGGTACATTTGGCTGATTTCTTTGTTAAGGAGTGAAGCCCGAAATACATCCCAGAAACTTTTAGCAAATTTAACATATTTTTCTCTTTTATTTCAGAAAGTTTATTTTGAATTCAATCAACAGAGAAATATATTTACAGAGATCATCTAGTTATTTTAAATAAAATTCTATTTTTTATAACTTTATTGTTGTTATAACTCCAACAATTGTCGCCCATAATGAATATATCAATTAAGCAGTAGGGATATTAGCTATGAGGGCTCTCCATATGGGATCTTAGTTGATACACCCCTTTACCAAACGAGGATGTTGAAATGACAAAGACTCGTTCAAAGTGACATCAAGTGTCATCTCCCGATTAATTTTGCCTTAGCGAGGAGACCGTTATATTTCATGCATTCAGTGCCACATCGACACATTGTTGCATTATTTTTCCGTACTAAACAGCATGCTTTGTTCTAACCAATCAATTGCTGTTCTGTTTCATTTCATTCATAGTTGCTTCCCTTTAATTGAGTTGTATATAAGGCATTGCAAAATATATAATAATCAAATGGATCAAATGAAGATGAACTGAGCCATGGACTAGTCCGGCGCACACCCGAGTCATCTGCGCAGGAAAAAGGCGATAGCTTCCGTGTGCGGGTAACTTTATGTAAGATTTTGATCATTCGTGGCGAAAAGTTGAAAATCATGCGTGTTTGATCATTTTTTCCACGAATGAACAAATGCTTGTGTGTGTGCGTAACTAAAGCTATCTGCTTAGAGGTAAATTTATGTACGCATGCGTAGTCACGTGACAGTTCAAAATGTCTGCGCCCATGGAATTGAATTTGATGGATAGTAATTCTTCGTCTTCAGAAGAAGAAATTTTGCTAAAGGGACGTAACTCTTATTTGTTATCAAGTGACTTGATAACGTTATCTGTATGTGTAATGAAACGTTGTGTTCAGTAATAAATAGAAGTCTATATCCATAAAAAGTGTTGTTTCTTTATAGTCTTGAAGAATGTCTGAATAAAATATTAATCTCTTTGTCAGAACCCAACAAAAGGAATCACAGGTACTCTAAGTTTAAGGTCAGACTTATCGCCTTACTAAATTTTGTTTTACGACATCTGATCATCTTCACAATGTCAAGCTATTACGACCACAGGCATCTGTTTCTATCAATAGTCGACCGTCTCAATAATAATATATATATGAGAAGGTGGCTAACGCTCGTCACGAACACCTCCGCTTCAGACGACTTTCTACCATTTACCGTAATGAAATATTTTCCTAACCTTATATGAATCGTTTAATTGAATATTTTCCCTTCACACAAGACCAATTTTATATCTCCCTCAGTGTTCCCCTTCATACTAATCTAACTATTGTTCAATAAAAATACTAAAAAAATTTACACCCATTGTTTCAATGTATCTACTTCCGGTTGATTTGGCAGTAAATATATTTCGGTTAATACGATTGGTCAGCTATAATTACCAGTCGAGTAAAAACCGAAGTGAAAGTAAAAGCATGGTTATTGACTTATCTATTTATTTAATTACTAAGAAAAAAGTAGTTATATTGGCGATTTCCATTCTTTAAAAATATATAAATAATGAAAATAGCAACACAGTAATTTTACAGCATCATTTTCTTCACAAAATATATAACATTCTGCCCTGAAACCCGCTAACCGGAAGTAGATGCATTGAAACGATGGGTTTTTAGTATTTTTATTGAACAATAGTTAGATTAGTATGAAGGGGAACACTGAGGGAGATATAAAATAGGTCTTGTGTGAAGGGAAAATATTCAATTAAACGATTCATATAAGGTTGGGATAATGTTTCATTACGGTAAATGGTAGAAAGTCGTCTGAAGCGGAGGTGGTCGTGACGAGCGTTAGCCGCCTTCTCATACACAAAGAAAAAAGTTCAGCACATCCTTAAACAAATCATGATAGTTTTGCACCAAGTTTTAATAATTTAATAAATATGGGACTTTTGAAAAGTAAAATGTGCCTTTAATAAAGTGAAGCGAACAAATCATGACAGAACATGAACCGAACGTGCAGTTTGCTACCCAAAATGCAGTATCTTTTGTCGCTTCTATTGGTTTAATTTTCTCATTCAAAATAGATCTTTACTCACACAAAGGGACATATGGCACGTAGACGCTTATCTGATGCCACAAGATGGCAAATAATCGGTATGCACAATGCAGGAATGTCTTACAGTGCAATTGGACGGAATCTGGGTTATAATCACACTGTTATTAGTCGTTAGGTCAATAAACATCTTCAAACTGGCGCTGTGAAGGATCGACCCAGATCAGGAAGACCCCAGTGACCTCACAGAGAGAAGACAGAGACCTTCAGCGCCTTGTTCGTCGAGAACCCTTTGCAACGAGTACTCGTCTGAAAAGCCTATGGCTGCCAAATCGTCGTTTCAGTCTAAGAACGCTCCGAAATCGGTTGAGAAGCACAGGAATGAATTAAACGCCCTTTGTTGACAGATCGCCACAAGGCAGCACGTTTAGCCTGGTGTATTGCTCGTCAGAACTGGAATATGAGGTCTTGGAGACGTGTTCATTGGTCAGATGAAAGTCGGTTCCTGCTCCATGTAACAGATGGCAGAACTAGAGTGTGGAGGCACCGAAACACAGCCTACACTCCTAGAAACATCAGACCAACAGTTCCATATGGTGGGGGGTCCGTCATGATATGGGGGTGTATCTCCCATGACTGCAAGTTGGATTTGGTCACCATCAGGGGTAACTTGACAGGACAACAGTACATCCGTGACGTGTTGCAACCGATTGTGGTTCTTCATTTTGACAACCACACACTTGCGAGTCGACCACAATTCATGGACGATGATGCTAGACCACATCGTTCACGAGCAGTCAACGATTTTATGAGGACCAATGCAATTACAATTTACCATGGTCTGCTATGAGTCCGGATTTAAATCCAATAGAACATGTTTGGGATTTCATTGGGCGACGAGTACGAGCACGTGAACCTCCTGTTCAAACTCTTCGGCAACTGGAAGCAGCACTGCATCAAGAATGGCGACAATTAACATTAGAAGAGGTTCGACGATTCACTGGAAACATGAGAAACAGGGTACATTGTGTCATTCAAGCACGCGGAGGTTACACACGTTATTGATGTTTTGAACTTTAAGGTCAAAATGATAATGATAATGAACATTTCCAGTGCAAATTGTAACTCTTACCTCTATCTGTAAATTCTGTAGCTCCATACTTTTTCATGTGTTAAAAATGTCAAAAATGAGTACCTCTCTGCCAATGTCATTTCCAATATTAAATCTCAAAGCAAATCTATCTCAAATGGTCTTCTTTGTTGTTACATGTGCGATGGATCCGATGCAATTTAAAAAATTTAGTTACCAAGTTCGATTTCCGCTTAGTGCATCATATAATTTTGATTATGATGAAAAAACTGGGATGTGCTTAACTTTTTTCTTTGTGTATATATACTATGTAGATAGAGTCGACTATTGATAGAAACAGATGCCTGTGATTACGACCTTCGGCTTATACCTTATACCCCCAACAGTCGCGATTCTTGTATCAGTGAATGCAGCGACTTGATTGGATTGTACGCCAGCAAATACAGCCAATCAGAGCCCTGGTATAGTATGTACAGACTTTCTGTCGAGACCTCTAATTGGATGTGATTTGCTATACAATCTTATAAAATCGCTGCATTTAAAAACTTCCGTAGGAAAGAAAAGCGGCTGTTGCTTGGCATTGTGAAGATGAGGTCTGATATGTTTTTTGTTTCTTTCCTTTAGATAGTTTGATTTATAATCGAGCAACGATATGTTTGTACATTGTGTAGGTTATAAATCCCCTAAGGTTCAAGTATCAGAGAAGTAATCCATATAACTGTACATTGAGTACCTCAATCCTGTGAAGAGACATAATAATTTATTGGTCTTACAAGAAATTCTTCAGATAGTGGAATTATATAATTTACATTTCAAAAAGAAACAAAGCAATATTTTAAACTATGAGTAATGAATCCTGTGAAGGGTCATAATAATTTATTGGCCATGTTCTATTGTAATTATTATCTGTAGTTACGTAAGTACTGGTCGAGACAGGATGATGGATGTCTATTTGTCTCCTCTCACTATATAAACCCTGAGTGTAGTTCAGTTAGTCACACATCTCCTGACTTCACAGATACACAATCATACCTGGTAAGTACATTGAGGTGTTATTGTTTTGTAGTTAGCATAAGTTATTTGTTTGAAATGTAATATTTATAGTAAATGATGTACTACGATTAAATCTGTTAAGCAAAACGATACGAATGGTACCAATAGTAAAATTGCATCCATTTGTATTAGGAATCCTTAAGAATACATGGAAACTGTACATCGGGGAGCAGCAAGAATTTCTGTTATGTACGATTCAGAGAGATCAACATTTAAAATCCCAGAGTCACATAATTCTCCTATCTTTAAATTATACTTCTTGGCTATAACCCTCCAATTGTTTGCACTTAGTGATATATTATCATATAAATATCTTCTCATTTCAGATAAAAAAAAATCTACCAAAATGATGAAAATTGTTATCGTTATGTTCTGTTTAATCGTAGCTATGTCAGCTTTTCCAATCATGCCATTTGTACCTCCAATGCTTAACCCCATGATTAATCCCATGGCTAACCCCATGATCAACCCAGTTGCTGCTGTCGCCAACCCAGTCTTCAACCCAATTATGAGAATGGGAATGGGAATGATGTTCTAAATTTAGTAACAAAATGGTGGCGGCTACTGTCAAGGTACGTAACTCTATTTCGATTATCCAGTTTTATTCGTTGTAGATTTCAAACAATCAATCGATTATAAACCGATGTGTCTGTATATCGGCTGATTGTTTGAAATCAAACAGTGGACCACTATCTGTTAGGCATCGCTGATGGTCATTGTAACAAATGACATAAAAAAATAAGCAACACAACGGGGAACCAAACTCGGGCAGATAATCCGAGTTTGGTTCCCCATTAAGCTCGCTGTATTACCATATACATGTGCTATTATTGTCATATCTTAAGAAGGGCGGTGTTTGTCATCCGGAGGCAGATCTACATGGGAAATGAAACAGATAGATATCATAAACAGTCCATATCGCCTTGTATCTTTATATCACCCCTCTTCGAACTAAGGACTGGTCAAAGCTGGTACATTTGGCTGATTTCTTTGCAAGAAACTTTTAGCAAATTTAACATATTTTTCTCTTTTATTTCAGGAAGTTTATTTTGAATTCAATCAACAGAGAAATTTATTTACAGAGATCATCTAGTTATTTTCAAATAAAATTCTATTTTTTATAACTTTATTGTTGTTATAACTCCAGCAATTGTCGCCCATAATGAATATATCAATTAAGCAGTAGGGATATAAACAATGTTAGCTCTTCTTATGGAAAGACCGCTTTACCAAATATTACTAGCTATGTGAACTCTCAATTGTTCCGGAATTCAAATCATCTTCCGAATAAATATTTCTTTGACTCATGGTAAAGCAAGGAGACCGTTGCATTTCATACATTTCACTGCTACACCGACACATTGATGAATTCTAGATTCACTGACTCGTACGGGTCAGTAAGAGTGTTCTACACCTAACTACCACCCTTTAACGTTAATGCATTAAGAATCAACTCGGAATAAGATCCGTACTAAACAGCATGCTTTGTTCTAACCAATCAATTGCTATTCTCTTTCATTTTATTCCTAGTTGCTTCCCTTTAATTGACTTGTATGTAAGGCATTGCAACAAATAAATCAAATGGGTCTACTGAAGACGAACTGAGCTATGGACGAAGGACAAACGTTTACAATTGTTCACCGAAGATCGCTTAAGGCGCTCGCACACGACTCGAGCATCGCGCATCGTGTGTGGGTAATTTTTAGCATTTGGCCACTCGTGGTCATATGGAAAATCTCTATCTGTTTGATATTTTCAACTACCTGTAGCCTGTGGCACAGCTGTGTGGGTTATTGTGGGCGGCTTTCTCATGCGCTATTGACATTTAAAGATGGCGACACCCAGTGTGGTATTGACATAATCAATCCTATAGGATAAATTTGTTGAATTATGACAAGATTACCCTGCCTGTACAATATCCGATCACCATAATAGTAAAAACAACTGCATTCATGATCAAAATGGTTCCAAACTACGTTCGTTCGTGCGTGTTATTTCCGTGTAAGAACCATACGTAGTTTCGTATGGGCGGCATAATTATAATGTGAGAGAAAGGCGCGAAGTCCGACGACAATAAGACAATGTGTTAAGAATTAGAGGGCGTGTAAAATCTGTCGTCTGTCACTTCAATGATCCAAGGGGAATAAATCAGGGCGTAAGGTCGATCTAAAGGGACGTAACTCATATTTGTTTTATTGTCCTCACGGGAGATAACGTTAATTGACTATTTATAGCTTCGTAGTTGTTTTTTTATATATTTTTATTAACCTTTATATGAATGTCTTGAAGAATGTCTGAATGAAATATTAATCACTTTGTCAGAACCCAACAAAAGGAATCGCAGGTACTCTAACATAAAGATAATCGTATCACGAATACAGATCGGGACATGGTCTTATATGACAAATGGGGGTGTGGTTTGGACACGATGACATAAAGGTCAAAAACTAAATTTTTTTCACGACATCTAAAATCTTCAAAATGTCAAGTTATTACGACCTTTGGCTTATACCTTGTACCTCCAAGAGTAGCAATTTTTGTATCAGGGAATGCAGAGACCTGATTGGATTGTACGCCAGCGATTACATTGGATGTGATTTGCTATACAATCTAATAAAATCGCTGCATTTTAAGAAAGAAAGGCGGCTGTTGCTTGGCATTGTGTAAGATGAGGTCTGATATGTTTTTTGTTTCTTTCCTTTAGATAGTTTGATTTATAATCTAGCAACGATATGTTTGTACATTGTGTAGGTTATAAATTCCCCCAAGGTTCAAGTATTAGAGAAGTACTCTGCAGAATCACAGTTTCTATATAACTGTATATTGGGCCACGCCATGTAGTGTATAGTGAGGACAATTTTGTCTACACGCAGCATTAGCCTACTATTTTAGATTCCCATCCGTCGAACAGTAGCGACTGCAGAAGCGTAAATGAGAGGGGTCACCACCGAATTCTTTCGAATCCGTTCTATTGTCTGAGCAAATCAAAACGTTTTTCGAAATTTTTTCGATGTTTTTTAAGAGAATTGGAATATCAACCTCAAAATAGTTCTGTTAGTCTTAGGATATCTTTGCATTGCCAAAAAAATAATCTTGTAAGTTTGAATTGAAAAGAAACACATTTCAAGCAATTTCAAGCCCCAAAATTGAAATTTTGGCTGAAAATTACCTTCTATAAAAACCAATTTTGAAGGCATAATGTGTGCTTTTATTTTTATCATCGCAGACATTTTAAGACTGACAGTTCTATTTTGAGGTTGTTATTCAAATTCTCTAAAAAAAATTGGAAAACTTGAAAAAACTTTTTACCTTGCTCAGACAATAGTTTCCAAACAATAAGAAAAAAACACAAAAAACTTACATAATTAATAAGTATGAGATTTATTCCCGCTTCCTTAGTTTAAATAAATATTTTTAAAATTTTTAAAAATGAAATCACTAAAACATAGTTATATCTAGCACTGTGATATTTAAAATTCATACAAATTGAACATTCTGTAAGACAAATTGCATTAGTATAATAATCATAGGTCTTACAAATATACCCTATTTCTAAAAAAATAAAAATTGGACCCTATTTCACGAAGAAATTGGAATTGGTCTCTAGTTTACAAACTAGTATACTAATACAAAATCCAGTTTTAAGAAAATACAGATATCTGATTGGTTAATCTAAACACAATTCAAGTAACTGACCAATCAGAGGAGTAGAATATATACTAAAATCAGTGTCAGGTAAGTTCAGATGACAATCGTCGCATGTAGTGACGTTTCTATGAATAATTTGGTTGATGGGGGAATCGGGCGAGTACGGCCGCAGAATTGTTTTTCTTTCCCTTTGTATGATTTTTGAGAGACTCATTCCCAGAAATGCCACTGGTTCAATGTCCGCAACACTACAATTGATTAAAGTTATAATTATCTATTCCATTCTTTTATCAAATTAACAATTAATGAGTGGAAGTGTACCAAAACATACAAAGGTTAAAATAACTTCTTGACAACGCCTTTAAACAATAAAATATAGTCACTCGCGGTCTCTGACGGGCAGCTACGACGGTAGAAGCCAGAACATCAGTAATAATCAGTAATAAATAAATATTATTAACAGCCTGCATGAGCCGACAATCTTTCACTATACGAATTTTTTGTAGCACCAGGCGTCAGATTTCGATTCTGAAAGCTTTGAAGGTAGTTAAAAATAACGTTCTTTCTATTCCCTGGCGAAGCAAATATCTAGAACAACATGCATTGCCTTTAAACAAACCAGGCATTAAATGACTTAAATAATTAATTACACGGAATGCTCACCATTCTATTTTACCTTCACGCTTCATTCCTCGAACGATCTTGTTCTCTTCGATGAAGCGATTCCTTGATCAGTTGCAATAACTCGACATAAACAAAGTTTGGAATTCATTGTTTTTGTTTGTTAATATGACTATTTTAAATAAAGATTACATCCTTTTGATTTCTTACTAGAGAATAGCTGAATCATAGTAAATTACCCTGTCCCTTGAACACAGTCAAACTAAGAGAAATGTTCCGCTTCAAAGAAAATAAGACAAAAAGCAGACAGATAATTCAAAACTAATCAACTTTAACCTTAACCTTATAGCGAACTTCTAGCCTGAAACAGACAGGCAAAATGAAAAATAAAAAATTGTAACTTCCATGTAGCAATGTATGACGCAGTGCTCATTGTTGTAAACGAAAAATCACCGAATCCCCATTGTGGTTCATTTCTGAGGTTTAAAATTCTTTTTGTAAAATTAGAAAACCTTAGGATTGTTATCTTGCAATACGCGACTCTTACATTCGTTTACAATTTTCAACACATGGTCTTTCTAATCGGCAATGGCCTAATCTGGCTTGTAATGAAAGTTACAAGATTTAAATCTAAAGGAATTGGCAGTAAATGCCTGAGTGTGGGATTCCACCTTTTACAAAAAATAAAATTTCGTTTCGTGTTTAACATGTTTTCTTGTTTCAATACAGACACGAAATTATCAAAAATGTCCTATTAGTTCATCAACAGAGCACTTGTCTGTTCCTCTCTGTTGATGACAAATGTGTGGGCTCCGTACACATTTAGTTGTAAAAAACATGAAACGAAATAATTTCTTGATTTAGAAAGATTAAGAGACAATCAAGACACTGATAGTTTAATGGAAACTGTTTTCTTCTAATATCCGCTGTAAAAGATGTAAGATTTTTTCCCTGGGATGCTCTTCTTTTGTCTCTTCTTCTTCTTCTTCACATTTTGGATTTTGAGAACAGGCCTCTGTAACGAGAAAGATACCAAAATTTGATTGAACAGATTCAAAATGTGTGATGATCAATCACGTAAACTTTCTATTTACACCCCTCTTTGTTTCCGTCCATGTTTATTTGTCCCGGTCAGGCAGTGTAGGAGAATTTTGTTTCTGTAGACTGTCAGGGTGTGGGGTATAGGTTTCAGATTGCCAACCTACTGAGTGATAGGTATTATGGACTTTTATCTAGATCAGTGGTTTTCAACCTGTTTTTGTATGTGTCCACAAATAGAATCAGCATGAATATCATGTCCCCATATATCGAAAGCGTATCTATGATTGGATACCAAGCACGTTCTCACATAGTTTGATAGTAATAATTCTCCTAGTACTCCTAGACAATGTTAATTTAGACTGTGTATAGTGTAGTCATCATATGAGATGTTGTATATATTGTAGTTGGAAAGTTTTTATTTTTCACAGCATGTGACTGGCTGTGACACATCAAATGTCCCCAAAGAAAAGTGCAAATGTCCCCACCATGGGACATGTCCCTGTGCATGGTTGAAAACCTACGATCTAGATTGTCAGTTTTCTTCACTGCCTAAAACACTGTCAGATATGGCCCTATCATTCCTGGTTGTGTTGTAGGGTTGTCATGGACCAAACGCAAGCTGGCCAATTTAAAAAAAAAGGTCAGTGTGCACTTGCCTTTAGATCTATAGTTGATTTAGATATATTTCTCTAAAATTGTAAGATATGTTTATATACTAAAAACGTTGGTTTATCTCTTACCTGAATCACAGCAAATACCATTAGCTACACACTGTCCTTGTTGACGTGAACCACACAGTTTACCCTCCACCCGACACGCTACGGTACTATCATTTTCATGTTCACAAATCTCGGTTTCTTTAGTACCAATATAACAACCAAATCTTCCACAGCATATGTTTGGTCCCACACATTGTCCCACGTTACCCGGCCCACATGACATACACTGAAAATATGAAAATATCAGTCGGTAAATATAATTGTGATATAAAAGGCAATTGTCAAAGAATATGCTCCCTCAGTAGACAACTCCATGGCAGCTTTAATTAAATGACCACATCAGCATAAATCAAGATGTATACAGTTGATTTTGATTAAAGAGGAATCTATGCATCGCTTTACTTGATACAATATGGCGGAGTTAAAACATTTTTTTTTTCAAGGTCTATATATGAAAAAGTTATAACCTAATGATACTAAACATGAGCTAAGGTGTCCTTACACCATGGGGATCACCAGGCAATAAGACTGGCGGTTATAAATTACGAATTCAACTATTAGGCAACTTTGTTGTGAGTTGCGTTCTGAACTAAAGCCACTTTCATTATCCGCAACCATACCCAGCTGCTGATCGCTGTGGTTCGAGGGCACCTTAACTCCTTCTGTTGACATTCATAGAAATTGAAAGGCTGAAAGGTTATGTAAAGTAGGTAAGGGCACAGATCACAATTATTGGTTTTAGTCTGGGAATTCTACTGAGCACCGCCAGTATAATGTTATATAATCCAGCTGTCCAAAGAAAATATCAGTTTTAATTGAAAGAATTCCGTTTCTGGTGTTTCTCAAGTATTCTTGACAGTATGACTTTTCTCAATGTAAAAGGGTGGGTGGTTGGGGGCTCAATGTAAAAAGGTGGGTGGGACTCAATGTAAAAGTGTGGGTAGGGCTTCAATGTAAATGAGTAGGTGAGGACTCAATGTAAAAAGGTGGGTGAGGACTCAATGTAAAAAGGTGGGTGAGGACTCAATGTAAAAAGGTGGGTTAGGACTAAATGTTAAAGGGTGGGTGGGGACTCAATGTAAAAAGGGTAGGTAGGGGCTACATGTAAAACACAGGGTGGGAGCAATATGTTAAATGGTGGTAGGGGTTCAATATTTAAGAGTGAGTGGTGACTCGATGTTACAAGGTGGGTAGGCTACATGTTACAGGATAGGTGGACTACATGTTACAGGATGGGTGGGCTACATGTTACAGGGTGGGTGGGAGATCAAATTAAGTGTAGGTGGGGGATAGAGAAGGGCTCCACCAAAAGCATTCAGTGATAGATATAAACATAATTCGAATCTTACGCGGTATAAAAATTAAAACCTCTTGTGAGAATTTAAGAATCGTATTCAATCAAGCGTTCCTTCCAGATAACAAATGTCAGTTATTTTAACTTGAAAACAAAAAATTGAAACAATAAAATGGGGTAAATGGATTGTGTAAATTACAGACCAGTATGATCTAACTCAGTTTCCATTCCTCTAGTTAGTCTATCGATCTCAGACGCGTAGGAATTAACACATACTGAATGTCAAAACCTTATCACCTATTAACAAAACAAATCTCTACATCAAAACAAATAAACCATTCATTTTCTCTCTGAATTTCCCCGAGTTATTTTCCCAATCTTATTAGCGTTAAATGAAGCAACTACACGCACCGACACAATTTCTTTTTGTGTAACTGAGAAGATCATTCGGAACTGACAGTAAACTTAATCTCAGAAAATATTCTTTGAAAATTTTCCTGTGATGCCAAAATGTAAATGTGGCGGCGCAAGTGGGTGCAAAGCGGAGTATCATATTTGTTTTCTGAGAAATTTCATATAATAACTTTATTATTTAAAAATACTCAAAATTATTTGAATCTCTCCAGTTTTAAAAACTATGGGTAATACAATTATAAGTAATCAGTTATAAAATGTTTTTGTCGACTATTTTTGAGGTAGTTAAAGGGTTTGTAAACAGGTTTTCTAAACTTTTTATGTGTATCGGGGACAATGCTAGCATCAATTGGTAACATTTCGATTTTCAGTTAGATGTCTATGGTTCCTGCAAGTCACTTTATCAGATGGTGCTACAGAATTCTAAAGACCTTTGTGATATTGACGAAGTGTATATATTGTCGCATATCTATAACTACAGGAACAACAGACATCTGACAGAAAATTGGAATAGTGCGAAAAGAACAATAAATGTTCCCGATACACATATAAATTATGGATGCGAACTTCGGAATAGGGATAAAAATCCGCAAAAGCATGGCAATTCCATCAACCAAACCTCTCGTCCCAAGAAAGGCAAACATGTTGTATAGTAGCAGACTTCGCAAGACACCCGGAATCATATAATATCTAAACAAATTGAATGAGCAATTGTCAACTACGACAGCAAGTTTCGAAGACCTCAACCTACTGATCGTGTTTTAATTCGTTCAGGTCAATTAATCAACATATCTAAACAAATCGTTAGAAAACGAGTTGAGGTCCCAGTGGAAAGAGAGAAGTTATCATATCATAGTAATTTTTAACAGTGATAATTATTAGAGCTTGTACGAATTGAAGAATTTCAGTTTAAGGTGCGAATAGAAGACGATTAGCGGAGATAATTTGTGGATTTCACTCGCAAGATAGTAGTGGGCGCTTAGATGAATAATAATCTTGATCTGTGTAGGTACTTCCGCCCACATCAACGGCGTCTTAACCGTCTAATGTGCAACTGGGAAACACATACCTTCAATTTCTAATAATCTAAAAGTCCCAAGGATACGTTTGCTTTATGTTTGAGTCTCAATGAGTTGTAGTGAATGTTCAAAAAGGGTAAACAAACCTTGTCTAGGTTATTTCATTCTTGAATTTAGAGTGCAATCTTTTGATTCAATTGACGTTTACTTGCAATCTACTCGTCACAACACTAACACTTGCTGATAAACTGGGCCATATATTTCATTCATTTACTCACTTATTCAAAATGAACACTCTTCAAGGATACACCTACGAGTTACAACATTTACCAAATGATCTTGTCACAAAAGTTAACAAAACATTTTACAAAGCCACACAGCTTGTTACAACATACTTGATACTTTTTCATCTTCCAACAAACGAAAATGCTATGAAGACTATAACTATTCCGGGGGCACAATAATCAAACTTTAGATCTATTTCCCCCTTCACAAATTACTACACCCTCGCATTGATTATATAATATAATGATTTCAATACCCGTACGGAAAGTTGAAACGCTCTTGAGGCTTATTGTAAGGCTGAATACAGAGGCCTATATTACATGGAGTTATTGCCAATCCATATGCAATGACCAGTACAGAAAGTCAACAAGGCTGTGCTCCATTACAACAAAATCTTGTTCTGTTTAAGCTGTTAAGCATCCATTCATTCGTTCGTTCATTCAATCGTTCGTTCGTTTAATCGTTCATTCGTGTATGCATTCATTCGTTCATTCAATGGTTCCAAGGTTGTTTTGCTATCAGGCGAGTTTTCCGCTGTATTTGAAGTCAATTATGTCTTTAATTGCAACACTTTCTCTCCAAACGTTAACCAAATTTACTGAAGTCACCGAATTAGCCATATATTTAGCAATATTTTTCTATATTTTAAATTTTTCAAACCAAATTTTTTATTTTTTTGTCAAAATCAAATAAGGAATTAGCCATTTAATCATTCATTCATTTTACTCGTTATATTCAGCAATGTATGGAATCATCCATTTGTGTTGTCAATTTCATTCACGATATAGCACGTACATTTTTCTAATTTGAGATTATTTGGAATTAGAGGGGCACTAGCGAGGAAATCCTGTTCCCTGGAGACCAATTGGATTTATTTATAGTTTCATAAATAGTACTAATATTGTTAATTAGCCTTAATGGGGCCTCCAATTCAATGACGTTGGAGATTACACTGATTAGTTCCTCTGGACAACAGAAATAATTGGTTATTGAATGGATGGAGAGGATTCAAGGGAACTCTCTGGGCACTGCTGGCCGTAGTATATGAATTTTTCTCGGACAATCTGGCGAATTGAATTATAGTCTATTATGCACATCGGCCAGAACGCAGAACGAATAAAATCGCCACTTTGGCGGCATTATCGCCTCCTTTTCCAATCCCACTAACTCAAAACTAATAATATTTCACATCATTAAATTTGGAATTGATTAAGCCATTTAATGATACTTTCAGATGAATTTTACCGTCGCACATTTTCGAGAAAGGGTAGTCTTTTAAGCCCTTTTTTTTCTCTGTTGAACGAGTTCAAATAGGCAGAATTAGGGTGACCCAGCTTGCCCCAATCCCTACTCCCACTACTTTACAAATTTACTGTCATTGAATATATCTTAGGGGAAAATTGCGTGGTAATTCTAAGGCCCTTATTCAGCCCACTTGCCGAATAATTCTTAGAAAAACCACTATTATCCGCTTCTGACTGAGCTAGCCAACTACTAGGCCTACTGGGTTTTGTAATTCGGTGTAAAATCTAATAGGTGACGGATTAGTAAAAGCCACGGCTTATTTCCGAAACCTTATTTATATTCTGTAAAATTTATATTAATGATAAATAAATAAATAAATAAAATATTGTTCAAACCAAATAGGCCTCTAGAAAAACTTGTAATTTCCAGTCAATGCTATTATTAGGCCTAGGTACAACACAGAAGGCTAATGATTAGTTTTGATTGTGTGTTTACTTTCCTTGTTACAAAATGGCCGTTGGAAATATTCACCTAACAAACTGAAGAAGCTCGATCGGTTTCTGCTATCAGTAGGCTAGGCCTATAACTTTTCAATCTGAAAGTTGACATGACATCAAAACACACTGGGAGAACTGATGAGGAACCAGTTTGAGGAAATGTTAATACCGGCCTACACATGATTGAAATTTTGATAAAACAAATATTTAGACGACTCTATCCTATCTCTTAAGATTTCCAATCTTTAAAAATAACATCTTAGGGATCATTAAAGATCATAGCTTATTGTTACTTAACATTGTTTAAAAGGAAAATAACAATAGATCAAGTTTGTTGGGTTATAAATCTTGTATGATAGAACGTGTACATCCCTCAGGTCTCCTGTCTGTCACTCATTGTCATGGTAATGGGCTCATTAATTTAAATATATTACGGCATCTATTATGTCATTGGCATGTATCAAGGGATATT